AGAGAAGAAGGAGGAGAAGGAGAAGGAGAATGAGGAGGAGGAGACGGATGAGGGAGGAGTGACGAAACCAGAAGAGACCAGAAAATGGTTATGGCGAAACTCTGCGGGGTCCTCCTCCTCCTCCTCTTCCTCTTCCAACTCCTCCTCCTCCTCCACCTCCTCCTCCTTCTCCTCCTCTTGCTTGCCCTCCTCCTCCTCCTCCACCTCCTCCCCCTGCTCCTCCTCCTCCTCATCATCATCAGCATCATAATCAGCATCATCATCACCACCACCACCACCACCATCATCATCATCATCATCATCATCATCATCATCATCATCATCATCAGCAGCAGCAGCATCATCATCATCATCATCATCATCATCATCATCATCATCATCAGCATCATCAGCATCATCATCATCATCATCATCATCATCATCATCATCATCATCATCATCTTGATCATCATCATCATCATCATCATCATCATCATCATCATCATCATCATCATCATCATCATCACAGTCACCATCACCATCACCATCAACCTCACCATCACCATCACCATCACCATGACCATCAGCAGCAGCAGCATCATCACCACCACCACCATCACAATCATGATCATCATCATCATCATCAGAAGCATCATCAGCAGCAGCATCAGCATCATCATCACAATCAGCATCATAATCTGCATCATCGGCAGCAGCATCAGCATCAGTATCATCATCAGTATCAGTATCAGTTTCATCATCATCACCACGACCACCCTCATCATCAGCATCAGCATCATCACCATCGTCAGCATCATCATCACCATCGTCATCATCATCACCATCATCGTCATCATCACCATCATCGTAATCAGCATCATCACCAGCAACAGCAGCAGCAGCATCAGCATCAGTATCATTATCATCAGCATCATCAGCATCAGCATCATTATCATCATCATCAGCAGCAGCACCATCAGCATCATCATCAGCAGTATCATCAGCAGCATGCCCATCATCATCATCATCATCATCCGTTCCCTGCTCCCTTCTCCAACTCGTTGACAGCGTAATTCCTCTCCTGAGCATGATCAGCACCCTGTTCCTCCTGCTCCTTCTTCTCCTCCTCCTCCTCCTCATCATCAGCAGCATCAGCATCTTCATCAGCATCATCACCATCATCATCAGCATCAGCATCATTATGATCATCATCGTCAGCAGCATCATCAGCATCAGCAGCATCATCATATTCGCCACGATCAGCACCGTCGTCGTCATCGGTATCGTCAGTCTCGTCGTCGTCGTCGTTGAATGATCATCGGCAGCAGCAGCAGCAGCACCATCATCACCAGCAGCAGCATCATCACCACCTCCACCACCACCGGAAACATCATCATCATCACTATCATCATCATCATCATCATCACCACCACCATCATCATCATCATCACCACCACCACCATCATCATCATCATAATCATCATCATAGTGATCGGTATTATCGTCATCGCCACCATCGGCAACAAGATCAGCAGCATCATCGTCATCGTCGTCATCATCATCAGCATCATCATCTGTGTGAACAGTGTGTTCCCGCGCCTCCCCTTTACTCCTGCTCCCTCATCCACCCTCACCCTTCCCCGCTATTCATCATCCTTGTTCTCGTCCTCACATTATTCCTTCATCCCCATTCCCCGCCTGCTCTTCCTGCTCCTCCTCATCTTCCTCGTCGTCCTCCTCCTCCTCATCATCATCATCGTCATCATTTACATCATCATCGTCGTCTGCATCGTTAGCATCGTCAGCATCAGCATCAGCATCAGCATCGTCATCAGCATCACCATCGGCATCATCATCATCATCATCATCATCATCATCATCGTCATCAGCATCATCATCATCATCAGCATCATCATCATCATCATCAGCAGCAGCGACACCTCCATTCTCCGAAATCATGATGGTCGTCATCCTTCTCTGGTTCATCGTCCTTCTCCTCCTCCTCCTCCTCCTCCTCCTCCTCCTCCTCCTCCTCCTCCCCCTCTTGCTCGTTATCCTCCTCCTGGCCCCCATCCCCTAACAGAATCCCACCAGCCCTTTAGGGCGTGAGTGGTTTAGCGAGCTTCGTTTTCCAACTCCCGTCTCCCCCTTCGAGGAGGGGGGGCACTCCTCCCCCACACCCTCTCCCCCTGGGTCTGGACGGGGCCTTCCGCGAAAGCGTCCAAGATGGCCTAGGCGAGGGAGCTAAAATCATTGCTTGTACTGCGCTTTGGGCCACATTTTGGCATCCTGGGGGAAGGCTTAATTCAGGAGCCGCGCTCATTTGACCAAGATGGCCCCAAGATGACCCCCGAGGCTCCCAAGACTGCTCAAAGAGATGCCCAGGAGGCCCAAAGAGGCCCCCAAGAGGCCCCCCAGATGCCGCCAAGAGGCTCCCAAGAGACCCCTAAGAGACCCCCAGGAGGCCCCCCAGAGGCATCCAAGACGGCCAAAAGAGGCCTCGGCGAGAAGACCAAAATCAGTGATCTTACCAAGGTGTGGGCCACAGTTTGGCCTCCTGGGGGAGGGTGCTGATTAAGGAGCCCCCCGAGATGCCCCCAAGAGGCTCCCATTAGACCCCCGAAAGGCCCCCCAGGGGAACGCAAGATGCCCCAAGTGGTCCCGGCAAGAAGACCAAAATCAGTGATGTTACCAATGGTGTTACTAAGGTTTTGGCAACAGTTTGGCATCGGGGGGGGTTATGTACTACGGGTCCTCCGTTGATCGATCTCCTCCAAGGTGGCCTCAAGATGACCCCCGAGGCTCCCAAGGGTGCCCCAAGACGGCCCCGAGACGTGCCTGGGAGGCCCCGAGAGGCCCCCCAGAGGCCCCGAAGAGGCCCCCAAAGAGGCGCCCAAGAGACCCCCAGGAGGCACCAGGAGGCCTCCCAGAGACGCCCAAGACGCCCCTCAAGGCACTCAGGACTGCAAAGAGACCCCAAGGACACCACAAGAAGACTCCAGGATGCTCCCTGAAGAAATCCATAGGGACTCCGAAAGACATCCCAGAGGCGTCGGGCCTCGCTGCTCGCCCTCCTGCTCCTCCTCCTCCTCCTCCTCCTCCTCCTCCTCCTCCTCCTCCTCCTCCTCATCCTCTTCCTTCACCTCCTCCTCCTCCTCCACCTCCTCCTCCTCCCCCCCCTCTTCCTTCACCTCCGCTTCCCCATCCGCCTATTCCTCCTCCTTCTTCCGCCCACGCTCCCCTCCCCCTCCCCCTCTTCCTCCTCCTCCTCCTCCTCATCTTCCTCTTGTTCATCCTTCCTCCTCCTCCTCCTCCTCCTCCTCCTCCTCCTCATCATCATCACCACCACCACCATCATCACCACCACCACCATCGTCATCATCATCATCATCATCATCATCATCATCATCATCATCATCATCATCATCATCATCATCATCAGCATCAGCATCAGCATCAGCATCATCATCATTATCATCATCATCGTAGTCATCATAATCAGAATCAGCATCATCAGCATCATCGTAGTCATCGTCATCGTAGTCATTATCATCAGCAGCAGCATCATGAGCATCAGCAGCATTAGCAGCATCATGAGCACCAGCATCACCAGCATCATCATGAGCTCCAGCATTATCAGCATCATCATCCATATTTCTCAGCGTGGATACGACGCCTTAAGTCATCATCATGATCACCTGCATCATCATGCTGATCATGATAATCGTGATAATCAGCAGCAGCGTCATCTGCATCATCATCAGCATCACCATCACCATCATCATCCTCATCATCATCACCATCATCACCATCACTATCATCGCCATCGTCGTCATCATTATCAGTATCATGATCAGAATCAACATCAGCATCATCATCATCATAAGCATCAGAAGCATCATCATCATCACCATCAGCAGCAGCATCATCATTAGCATCGTCTGCATCGTCAGCATCGTCATAATCATCATCATCAGCATCATCATCATCATCATCATCATCATCATCATCATCATCATCTTCATCACCATCACCATCATCATCATCAACATCATCATTATCAGCATCATCATCGTCAGCATCCTCAGTATCAGCAGCATCATCGTTACAGTCATCATCAGTATCAGTATCAGAATCAGCAGCAGCATCATCATCGTCACCATCAGCACCATCGTCATCATCGTCATCATCATCACCATCACCATCATCATCATCACCATCGGCAGCATCATCATCATCACCACCAACAAAATGATGAGCATCATCATCATCATCGGAATCATCATCATCATCATCATCATCATCGTCATCGTCATCAGCATCACTACCATCATCGTCATCATCATCGTCATCATCATCATCATCATCAGCATCATCATCATCATCATCATCATCATCATCATCATCATCATCATCATCATCATCATCATCATCATCATCATCATCATCATCATCTTCGTCATCACCATCATCATCGTTACATTATCGTCATCATTTCCTTTCTCCTACGCGTCGTCATCCCCATTCCCCGCCTCCAGGGACGCCTGGAAGCATCAAAATACATCAAGAGACCTGACAAAGCCTCCACACTGTTCCCTCGCATCCTCAAAGTCCTTGCCCTCGTTTCCTCGTATTCCGCCTCCTCGTCCCCTCCCCAACTCCACCTCCATCCACAACGAAGACGACGACGAAAGAGTTCACGACGACACCGCCGGCGACGAACACTATGGCGGTGAAGACGACGAGGACACCAACAATCACAGCACCGACGACAACGACGCCATCGCGGACGATGACGTCAGCGCCAACGCCGCCGACGGCGAAAACGACGACGACGACGACGACGACGACGACGACGACGACGACGACGACGACACCGACGACGACGCCGACGCCGACGCCGACGCCGACAATGACGACGACGACGACGACGCCGCCGCCGCCGCCGCCGCCGCCACACGACGGTGAGCCTCGAACGATCAGGCACGGACTGGCTGGCGCGCGCCGGGTGACCAGGCCCCTCAGTCGGCCCGCCCAGGGGGGGACCTCAGCGCGTGCCCCAGGCCCAGGGGCGCCTGCGGCGGTGGCGACGACGACGCCGGCGACGACGGCAACGCCGACGGCGACGACTCCGACGCGGACGCCAGCGACGGCAGCGGCGGCGGCGACGGGCGGCCCAGGAACGCCTCCGCAAAGGAAGCGACGACGACGACGACGACGACAATAACAACATCAACAACAACAACAACAACAACAACAACAACAACAACAACAACAACAACAACAACAACAACAACAACAACAACAACAGCAGCAGCAGCCGCAGCAGCAGCAGCAGCAGCAGCAGCAGCAACAACAACAACAACAACAACAACAACAACAACAACAACAACAACAACAGCAGCAGCAGCCGCAGCAGCAGCAGCAGCAGCAGCAGCAGCAGCAACAACAACAACAACAACAACAACAACAACAACAACAACAACAACAACAACAACAACAACAACAACAACAACAACAACAACAACAACAACAACAACCACAACAACAACCACAACAACAACAACAACAACACCATCATCGCCAGATCGTCACTATTGCGGCGTTCCTGGTCGTACTCTTCGTCCTACTCCTCCACCTTGTCCTCCTCCCCCTCCTCATCCTCCTCCTCCTCCTCCTCCTCCTCTTCCTCCGCCTCCTCCTCTTTTTCTCTAAACCCATGCATGCGGGCTCTCGTGCTGCTACACATGCAAGTACGCAAGTTACACGTAAAGCAAGACCCTGGACAAACAAAGGCAGCAGGAAAAGAAGAGAACATCAAATAGCACGGATTTGGCGACGAGGCCGCGCGTGCGTCGGTACCTGCTCCTCGGGCCTACTGCCCCACGGTAGCGGCACAGCGTGAGACCCCTTGGTATTCCCGTGCCTCTTGCTCCGAGCATGGCCCTGGTCTCTCTCTCTCTCTCTTTCTTTCTCTCTCCTCTCCACCTTTGCCCTACTCCCCCCCCCCCCCGACATTTCACTCGTCCTCCTTGTCATCGCCGTCGCCATTGCCCTTGCCCTTGCCCTTGATCTGCCTGGCAAACTGCCCCCGTCCCAGCAGCGGTTGTCCTCCAGCGCCCCGAAGCAGTCTGGCCATGAGTGCACTGGCCTGAACTAGCTTACCGGCGTACGTGCGTGCGCGTAACTTCCAGAGGGCTAAGCCGCACTACTTCGCACCTTCCCTGAGACTGAGCTGTCTGTTGATCCGCGAGGACGCGATCCTCTTCCTCCGCGATGCGCATGGGCGGTATCTGGCCCAGCTCGTTGAGGTAACGTCGCATTTGTTTCCTGGCATCGTTGCTGCACTGGGCATCACTGCACACGATTTGATCCACAGACTGGCCTCCTCCATACCGCCTGATTCCATCATGCTGCGGAGCCTCTTCAAGGCCTTCTGGGAGACATCACTGCAGAATCCACGAGCTCGTAGAAAGACTCGTAGATCTGCCCCGCCCCTCTCGCCGGCACCTCCACGCTGTCCTTCCCCAGCCCCCTCCTACTCGGAGCTGCCCAGGTACTCTAGATGCGCGCCTGGGCCCGCCACCGCCACTGGGCTGTCCTGGTGAAGCACTATACTGACCGTGCAGTCCCTCTCGACGGCTCTGATGCGCGCATCCAGCTGCTCCGTGAGTCGATCTCGCATCTTGTCTAGCTGGATGCGGCGTTGCTGGTCGCCTCCATCCGCGCCTCGACCCCCACGCCCCACCGCCCTCTGTCGTCTCGCTCCCCCATGACGAACTCCGGGCATCGGGATGCTCGACATGATAATCCGCGGGCAACAGAAACTGAAGGCACGATCTGCAATGCCAGGCCAGTTCTTGGGCGGACTCAAAAAACTCGAGGCGTGACGGGCGGCGGATCGGATCACATTCAAGAGTGGTACAGGATCGATAACTCATGTCCGCCATGCATCCCCCCTCATACACACCGGCAACAACGCGCGCCTCGGCCGCGCATGGTGTTCGCGAGCGCTGTAGAACACATCGGGCAAAGATTCGTGACCTTAAGACGGCGCGCGATATTCCCAATCCCCATGTCCCCCCTCCCGCCGCGCGCTTGACGCGCGTTAAGGCATGTCAGCATACCGAATCACGCAACATATGGGCATCCACCGCTGCTCAGAAATTTGCACGCGCACGGCCGGTCCTCATCTTGGTCAGCAGCCTGCGCTGCTGACCCCCGCGCTCGACCTCGCGCGCGTTCATGCGCGTCGAAAAACGCGCGCAATTATCGAAGATTAATGCACGCGAAATCTTCGACCCCCTCAAGCAACGAGCGCCGCGGGCCAGACTGGCACTGCTCGAGCAGGGCTTCTCCCTCCTCTATCGCCTACAACGCCTACTCATCCTGCCACCATCGCTTCGCCCGCGGATCGGCCCCGGGCCTCCAAGACCCACCGGGGAGAGGAACGCCATCACCCACTACAAGTTCGCCAAACGCGCCAGCCAGTATCTGCGCGCAAATACACCGACATTTAACGATTGCTCGCAACCACCGAAGCCCCCGAATCAGAACGTCGCTCCACAGACCCGCCACTCCCAATCCTCCAAGAACCTCGAATTCCGACATCTGTCTGACACGCGCCCCCCCCGCCCCGCATGCACCTTGAGCACCACCCACCCCTACATTACAAAACACTGCGCAGTCGATGCCCGGGGCCACGCTCAGCAAGCATCCTCGAAAATCACGCGCGCGCATTCTCGAGGGCGCCTCGCTACTCCGGGAACCACGCACGTTGAACCAAGCACGTTCCACGGCCGCTCGCCGACGGGCGGCCTCTCCCTAACAGGAAAGGCCGGCAAAGATGCGCGCGCCGAGATGCCGAGAAGCCAGCACCACCCTCCCCCGCACACCTCTTCCCCATCATGAGCTGGCGCTCAATGACGCGGGCCCCGCGGCCGCACAGTATCATGCGCTTTCTTGTCTTCTCGCGCTTTGAAAAGCCCGGCGCGCGCCCGCCCCCTCCGCAGCGCGCCTGTTCTGCACGATGCCCCCCTCGATAACGCCCCGCCCCTCCTCCGCCGCCACCTCACCCCCCACGCCGTCATCGCGCGTCGCCAACCCTATCTGCGCCACCTATCTCGTCATTGGGCACGTCGTTGCACAGCGCGCGCGCCACGCGTCGCACGGCCAGTCATGCTGCCGCGCTCCTTGCGCGCATCTGCTGCGACAAATGGCTCGGCGGCAGCGCGGCCAACGGGGAACGCCCCCACCCGATTTCGCGCGACGACTGCGCCCATCGGGTCGCGCAAGACAAACGACGCGCCCAGAACTCCACCCCTCGCGAACATCACGCAACACTTCCTGCAAGGAACCAAAAACCGCAACGCGCGCTCAAGATGCACTAGAACGCATCGGTACCATCGCGGAACCGAAAGAAGTCAGAGACTCGCAGCTTTCGTAGACGCCGCGACGCGCGCTCGCGCGATTATAGCGTTTTCCCTCCTTCTGGCGCGCACCCCCTCCGGCACCAAACAGGGATGAACACGCAGGCGCACTAGACTGCAGAGCAAAAACCACGCGAAGACATTTTCCCGCACATAAGCATGGCAATCCTTTCCCCATCACATCTCACTTAAACGTGTTTTTCGGCAATGCGCACACAAACGCATGATCCATTGCACAGGGGGTCGCTTCTCTTCTGCACGCGAAGACGAGCCTCAAGAAGCATTCTGCAACTCGCTGAAATCAAACACCCCCCGCGCCATCCCAACCCAACTCATTCTACTCTGGGCGAACTGCCACGCTGATGCATCCACCGGCATGCCCCACTCAGGCCACGTCCTCCGCGGCTTCATACGCCAAACTCTGCACCTGCTTCCAGTCATCTTCCGCCATGTTCTACTAAAAGCGGCACAGGTAGCCGGCGCGACGTCATTCCTGCTGCTCGTCGCGCCACTTCTTCCTCACTCGCATCTACTGCTGCGCAGCCTGGTTTCTCCGATATGTGCGAGCTGTGCTGCGAATAATCCTGGCGCCCCTCACAAGCCTCACGTTGACTCTCCATCAATCGTCCACCTACCAGAGTGATGATGATCTGTAGCCTGCCTGCGCACTGCAAGCTATCTCTTCACCTCCTGAACATACTCACGGTGCGACTACGCGAAATAGCGTGCGCGCATGCATACTGCAGCGGTTGCCTCGCTGATGGTCTGGAATGCACGCTGCGTGACCTCATCAATATTTGCATTGATGCGCCAGAACATGTAGCTCCATATGTGCATTATGGAACAGACGGTGCGCCTCAGAAGCATTCGCTGACGCATATGACTTTGTGACCCGCATGGCGCATGGTTTCCCGACGTGGTCCCCCAAGACGGTTGTGGCTTTTTTTTTTCTGAGAGTGAAGCCCAATGATTGCTGTCATATGGCTGAGTATACGGTCAAATGGCCTGGATGCGCGATGCAACTGCAGTCTGAACCCAGCAACGGCACGTGTACGCACTTCCACCGCAACTCCCAACATAGTATGCCATCCAATGATGTGAACTAGTGTCTTAGAACTTCTCCCCCATGCAGCTGCGCGCCAATTCTGACATGCGTGACATACGGCGCGAGCCCCATGCCATCTAGCAACGACTTGAGCTGACCCGCGGAAATATGCTCAACACCTGCGCTAAAGCCCCACAACGAACTGTGGTCGGGTCATGCAAAAAGACATCAATCAAGTCCGCTTTACAAACTGTACCGTCATCGCTTACGGTGTAAAATTCACTTAGCCAACTGACCGTTATTGTGATGGTATACTCCTGGTTACCACGTGCATCCCTCATCGTGTGCCGTGGTGGGAAATACATACCAATAAGTAGGAGTCGTAGCCGTCCCTGCTGTACCCTCATCGTTGAGCACCTCCCCCATAAGATCTGCGGGAGCTCAATTGTGTGACTGCTGCGTTCCTTGAAGCGAGAACCTCTCAACATGAATGTGATGCCACAACTTCGAGTAACAAACTTGCCGCTTTCAAAACCGAACGGAATGAACAAAGATCCATTAGCTCGGAAGGTATATCCCGTAAGTCCGCATCTGCTCCTAACTTGGGTGCCGATGAGTGCAGTGACGCCCCTGTTTGCCATTCCGAGCGAGGTGGATACGAACCTCTGCAGTGTGTTGCATGCGCACGGATTGTACTGCACTGCTCTGACGAAGGACATCAGCGCGAGGGCAGCGAACCGCACGGCCACCAGACGTAGCCTGATGCCCTAGCTCATCCGTCGCAAGAGAGAGTGGCATCTACATGGCCTGTGAACTCCCGCTGAGCTTTCTGAATTCGCAAAGCTGGCGCCTGGCCCCTCCCGCAAGATGCTCGGGCCCGCCAGTTCGTTTCCTCCTCCTCCTCCTCCGCCTCCTCCTCCTCCACATCATCATCATCATCATCATCATCATCATCATCATCATCATCATCATCATCATCATCATCATCATCAGCATCATCATCATCATCATCATCATCATCATCATCATCATCATCATCATCATCATCATCATCATCATCATAATCATCGTCAGAATCAGCATCATCATCATCATCATCATCATCATCATCATCGTCCTCATCAGCATCATCATCATCATCAGCCTCAGCATCATCGTCATCGTCATCGTCATCATCACCATCAGCAGCAGCAGCATCAGCATCATCAGTAGCATCAGCATCAGCATCAGCATCAGCATCATAATCAGCATCATCATCATCATCATCATCGTCATCATCACCATCACCACCATCGAGCATCATCGTCAACATAGTCGTCATCATCGTAAGCATCATCATCAGCATCATCAGCATCCTCCTTCTCTCTCCCATCTGCCTCGTCATCATGATGATCAGCATCATCATCATCATCATCATCATCATCATCAGCAGCAGCACCACCATCAACATCATCATCGTCATCACCGTTATCATCATCATCATCATCATCATCATCATCATCATCATCATCAGCATCATCATCCTCATCATCAGCATCAGCATCAGCATCATCATCGTCACTGTCAGCATCGTCCGCATCAGCATCATCAGCATCAGCATCACCATCAGCATCCTCATCATCATCATCATCATCATCATCATCATCATCATCATCATCATCGGCATCATCAGCATCATCACCATCGCCATCATCATCACCAACAGCAGCAGCATCGACATCAGCATCGTCATCAACAAGATCACAAACATCCTCAGCACCGCCATCATCATCATCGTCCTCATCAGCATCATCATCAGCCTCAGCAGCAGCAGCAGCATTAACATCATCATCAACACCGCAACCACCACCACCACCACAACAATCAGCATCATCATCGTTATCATCATCATCAGCATACTCAGCATCATCATCATTACCAGAAGCATCACAATCATCGACAGTCGCATCATCAGAATCGGCATCATCGTGATAATGGTCAGCATAGCCATTACTTCAAAGTATCAGTACCAGCATCAGCAGCATCATCACCATCAGCATCATCATCATAAACAACAGCAGCATCACTACCATCGCTAAACAGTACCAGTGCCGTCAGCATGATCAGCATCAGCAGCAGCATCAGCATCACCATCGCCATCATCATGATCATCATCGGCATCATCATCCTCATCAGCATACTAATCGTCATCCTCATTATCATCATCATCAGAATCATCATCATCATCAATGCCGTCAGCATCATCAACCTTATCATCCTCATCGGCATGATCATCAGCGTCATCATCATCAGCATCATCGACAACATGGTCATCATCACCACCACCATCAGCATCGTCATCAACACCATCATCACCATCATCAGCATCATCAGCATCCTCACCAGCATCATCATCAGCATCGCGATCATCATCAGCATCAGCATCAGCATTATCATCATCATCATTACCATCACCATGATCAGCGGCAGCAGCAGCAGTAGCATCATTCGCATCATCATAATCAGCAGCAGCAGGAGGAACATCCTCATAATCAGCAGAATCACAACCACCACCACCACTACCACCATCGTCGTTGTCGACGTCGTCACCGTCGAAAAGACCGACAATAGGAACACCAAAAAACAACAACCACAACAACTGCAATAACAGGCATGTTAAGACTGATCGCATTAGCTGCTCGCGTGTCAATCAACATGTGTATTCCAAACACTCGATCGATGCCCGCCCTCTTCGTCTTCGATCGTACCCCGCTTGGGCTATGTTTTCCTTACCTACCGCGTGTAGTTTGGCGCAGCCCCTAGTGGCTCCGCGAGGACCCCAAGAGAGACCAAAGATGGTGCCAAGAGACCTCCGAGAAAGCACTCTCTAAGGAGGTTGTTGTTCTGCATGCTACCACACTTCCCTGATCAGGGCATCTCGCATGGCGACATGTTTATGGATGGGCTGGTGGGGATACTTTTTTGGCTCGCGGCTCCAAGGCGAGGGACAAGGAGCGGGCACAGCGTCCGGGGTGCGGACGAAGTAAATTGGCCTCGGTGGCGTATGCACGTGCCAAGGACAAAATGACCCTCATTGAGACGCATACGGCGTCGGCAGGTGACCGGCCCAGACATCCCGGCAGGTGGGGACGCAGAGGCGCGGCGACTGGCGGCGGAACGGGGGGGAGAAGTCGCCCTTTCGGCGCCAAACTCCAGCCGAACCACATTCGGAGGCGAGGCCAGGACGGACGGCGCGGCACTGTAAAGCTGCAGGCAGAACGATGGTCCGAATGGCCACTGGCCAAGCGAAGCCAACGAGCGTGCACACAGAAACGGGCCGCCCAAGACCACAGCAGAGGGGAGATGGAGGGAGCAAAAGCGAGCGACAACCAAAGGCTCACTGCAGCACAACGAGTAAACGATGGTGCGGCAAAAGAGGGCCTGACTCATCATGGCTCACTGAAGCTGAGGTGTAGCTGAAACCCGTCAGAGCGCCATCCAGTAGAGGAAGACCACTAGTGTGCGCTCACGAGGCTGAGCCACCTCCAGCCGGTAGCCAGTGCGTGCACATCGTATCCGACTCTCGCGGTTCGGGGGCAAAACGATGCAATGTACTGACGGGGACTGGTAGCAGACTGTTCTGCTAGGGGAGCGACCACGAACTGCAGAAGGCTGAACCACTCGATGCAGGGCCACTCCCTGGCGAAGCCAAACATCGGGTGTCACCGAATGTGTGGCTGACGGCCGCACCCAATCCACACCTGTCACGCAGCCCGGGCGGAAGCCGAGTACACCGACGCCAGTGGGGAGCCGATGGCTGGCGGCTACCGAGCTGCTGGGCCGTAACGCTCGTTCTGGTGGGGGTACGCGAAGCGCCAAGATCTTGCTACCGAGGAAGCAGGATAAAAGAGGATGGAGAATGGAGGATGAAGGAGAAGGATGGAGGATGGAGGATGGATAAGGATCGAGGATAGAGGAGGGTGGAGGATGGAGGATGGAGGAGACTCGAGGATGGAGGAGGACGTAGGAGAATGGAGGATGGAGGATGGAAGATGGAGGGGGGTGAAGGATGGAGGACTGAGGAGGATGGAGGATCGAGGATGGAGGAGGATGGAGGATGCAGGAG